AGAAATAAATAAATTTCGAAGCATGTCAATATATATATATATATATATGTATATAATGTATTTAAGCATGGACTTGATTTCTTAGATGATTGTAATCTTAATACTCTATTTCATTGAACATGGAATATTATTGAGATTCCAATACATTAATATGGAGCTCTTGAAAAACTAATAATAATGTTTGACTAATTAAACAAATATAGAAAAGGCAAAGATAATTATAAATTTTACCTGCCAGCTTAGGAAACCATAGTATATACATGAATTTGACAATGCCAGCATCATTTACAATTTTCAATCTTCTTGGGTCAATTGCATGCTTATGGTTGAGTAGTCCATGCATTAAAACCTTATTATAATATTTGAGATTTTTTTTTTCTCCCATGTTTTCCGCATATTATTTAAGTTTTTGGCACCATTATGGAACAATACTAAATAGTTTGCGGATATATGATGAATAAAAGTTCTACTCTGTTCATCTGTATTAGGTTTCGTCGGTTTAAATACTTTTCATTTTAATAGAATTTTAATCAGATTTAATATTAAAAAAAAATACATAGTTAATAATGAAGTAACCCCACCATAAAAATTCCAATGATGAAAACTATTGTTTTTACTAGTCCTAAATGCCCCATGAAAATGTTGTTGTGTGAGCTCTTTTTTTTTTTTGGTTAATTTATGTTTAATTAAAAAGACAACCAAGAACCTTAAGATGGAGTGACAAGTGAATGTTTCAAACAAACTCGTGCACATTCAGTTCATGCATGAGCTTCCACGGAAACCAAACATAGTCATACATATAAATATATATATATATATATATATATAGAGAAAGTAGAGCTGTCTGTTTCTGGTGGCTGCTAGCTGTTATCCTTGGTGGGAAATGGGTAAGGGCCAATGGGGGGCTCTACATGTTAGCTTGGTTCATTAATTTCTTACTATATAGAAATAATATAATTTTTCTATCACTTTTTTTTTTTTTTTTTTTTTTTTTTTTTTTTTTTTTTTTTTTTTAAGAAAAATGATAAAGCTGAGAGGAGCAAAATCTGAGAAGATGGGCTCCAAGTGTGTACAAAAAGTGTCTTTGGCATTGACCTCTTTTGAGAGCAAAATTGGCATCCTATTGATATTGTCATGGAAAAGGTGTAATCATGTTTTCAGTCTCAACTATGAAATGAAAAGAAGAGAAAAAAAAAAAAAAAAAGTTTAAAGTAGTAAAATTTGACTCATGCAAAATACCATGGTACGGATGGATATAATTGCATACATGTGTTTCCATAAAGGTTAATTGAGTGAGATAAGAATTCCTTTTCATGAATCCAAATCTAATGCATTTTATCCCCTCTTGGAACACCCAATCATGATGTTTTTTTTTTTTTTTTTTTTTTTTTTTTTTTTTTTTTTTAATTTTTTTTTTTTTTTTTTTTTTTTTTTTTTTTTTTTTTTTTTTATAAATCAAAGACAAGAGAAGAATTACTCTGAAGATGCTACAAAATTTGAAATGATCATATTAGCAGCACAAAGGGGTATATTTATTATTTGATAACTTTAACTATTTACGAGTCTTATAAGTAATAGTTAAGAGTTACATTTGTCTTGCCATAGGTTTATTGTCACTCTTATTATCATTGCAACCCTTTCTCAATAGGGATCTTACTCTGATTGCAAGTTTGACGTAGTGATAATTTTTTTACCCATCCAATTCTTCCACACCAAATTTAAAAAATAAAAAATAAAATAAAAATAAAATACAACTAGCAGTATGGAGAGGCTCTCTAAGGCCAAAATCAAAGGAAAATGCTAAAGAGTAATAATGGTATTAAAAATAAAAAAAAAAGACCTACTAGTGCTCAAGATTATTTGTTCATTTTCATGTATAAGTAGATCTCCATAAGATAAAATTTGATTATATTAGAAAATTGCAATTTTACACGACAATTGTGTTCAATAAAAGTGTTGATCAGCTAAATTAGTTCGTAGGATAGTGATATATAGGCGGGAGAATTGGGGGAAAGAGGCATTAACAAGTGGGCCAGTGGCCTGCATTACAAACCTTGTTATTTTCATAACCAAAAGCCCAATTACAACCTTGAAAATAAATTTTTTTTTTAAAAAAAACGGAGAGAGAAAGAGTTTTTTTTTTTTTTTTTTCAATTCCGCCCTTTTAATTTAATATATATAATGAAAAATCAGAACAAAATCTTGTAGTATTTAAGAAAAGGATGTTAATCTTTATAGTCTTATATAAGAGCATTCTTCTAAATTCCCTAAAAGGAAATAAAAATGGCCGGAGGACAATCATTTCTAAGTTGTATATGAATTTGGGAGAAAGAGGAAAATATGTCAAGACTTTAGATGAATTAAAATTAATAGGCTAATAGTTTACATAAGTTAATAAATATGTCAAATTACTATTGTTGTCCATAACTTATCTGGTTATGAACCATAACTTAACAAGTTATTGTCCATAATTTATGATTTTTATCCATAACTTGTTTGGCTATAAACCATAACTTGATAAGTTTATCCATTACTTATCTAGTTATAAACCATAACTTAACAAGTTATGACTTATTAATTTCTATAACTAAAAGTTAGCCTATATACTTTTTTAAACTTTTTATATTGACTTATTTTCTACCATTTCCGTATGAATTTGTACCCCTCCCTCCATCAAGGATTATTACAAATTTGGGCCTTAGTGAATTGGGTCTTTTACGTGTTGGATGGAAACAATGTGGGCTAAGAAGTTGCCATAAGCCATACACCAAAAGCGGGCTTTTAGGTTTGAATCATTCCAAACTTTGAATCAGAGTTCTCTGATTCGAGTTATCACGATGTGACTTGATGTGACTTTATGTAAAAAAATTTTATTGTAGTAAAAAGTTAAATGTTATTATTTTTTAGAGTTTTATACTATAATAAAATTTAAATTTTAAACTCGAATTAATAAAATGAACGGGACGTTGAAAGATAATTGAGTATTTAAAGTGATACGAATGAATAACTAGTCTTCGTAATAAACATTACTAAGCCTAATGTACACAATTTTTTCTATCTTCTTCGGCCTAAGACAAGCCCAGAAACAAACGCTGTCAATATACTCTCTTTTTTTTTTGGGCGAAACTTTCAATTACACAGTTTACATTGTACATTTCAAGCACTTATGTTGTTGTTACAAAAAAAAAAAAAAAAAAAAAAAAGGATTCAATTAATGCCTTAAATTTTTTTTTTTTTTATGGATACTGGCATTGTTATTAACAAAATCTACCAAACTTTAAACTTTTTAAGTTTATTTTCTATCATTTCAGAATAAATTGTTTCTCACGATTAAGTCCCAAGAAAAAATATTGTTGATGAACATTGGAAAAAAGTGCACGAAGTATTCAAGTCAAGTCTATTATACGAGTGGTTAGAGCTATTTCTCATCTAAATAGGATCTTTAAAGACTTGTTTGGTAAGTGAATTATGATTTGAATTCTGTTATGGTGTTTTTATTTCACAAAGAGTTTGAATTCAAAAATTCTCTCACAAAATTCCCGTTAATAAATCTGACTCATCGACTTAAATATATGCTCAAAACGGGTCCTAAGATTCCAAATTCATCAGCCCAGCGATCAGACACGGGCACATCGCACACTGCATAGCACACCTGACATTTTTATCAAATTGATTAGGGGTCCGTTTAGTTCGTTGATTTTAGTTTTTAATTCGAGTTGAGATGTGATTTTATGTGAGAACTTTTTATTGTAATAAAAAAGTTAGATGTGATTATTTTTTAAAATTTTTTACTATAATAAAATTTAAATTCTAAACTCGAATCGGTAAGGTGAAATGAACAGAACCTTAAGTTTGACATGACTTTTGAGCATCAATTACGTTAAAGGGCATGATAGGTCAGACCTCAAGGACTCACGATAAGCGGCGCATTGATGCGCTCAACACTAATGAGCCCAAAATAAATACATTTCTTAAGTTGAATGAGCCTGATCCATGACAAGATCAATAACACAAGCGAAGAAAAAGATAAAAGTGAAGCTAAAAAACGACATTATTTCTCGAATACTAGTATAGTACCTGGGCTTGTGAGATAAAGTTCAAGAACAAAATCTAGCGAACTTAATCACAAAAAGTATAATATCATACCAAGTAAAAATGTTGGCAAAACGTACAATATCATACCAAGTAAAAATGTGGACGATTGCATTTGGCAAGATGCGGAATTTGTCCAACATTTCTCCAAACTCGTACTTTCAATGATACAAATATTAGGTTTTGATGGGGAATTTCATGGACTGTAGTAAAACTCGGATGTGTCATCTTAGCTTGTGATGACACGTGACTTTATCCAAAAAATAAATCAATAAATTAATATATCAAATATTGTAGTAAAGTAATTTATACAACATTTGATAGATTAATACACATAATATTATGGTGCCTCTATAAATTAGTATTTCTACCCCCTATTATAGATTTATTCCTTATTGGTATATTAGTATATATACATAATGTATACTTTTATCCTTTGCTCTTTAGTATTGTATATACACCATACTCACTTAAGAAAAAGATATATAGCTGATTTTCCTGGATGCAATGGTTGTTGCTATTTGCTACAATAATAAATCACTAGTTTAACTAAATAACTAAATAAAATAAATAAACATCTCTCTCCGACGGATCTTCTCAATTGAAATATAGATACACCATTGCACGCATAATTTATAAACGCATATACCATAATAAGTTCCAAGGTTAACTCAAACCTATGAGACTATGAGAAACGATAATATACATGTAAGAGTACTCGGAAGATCAAATTAACTGCATAATCCTTTTTATTGTTCGATAACGCATATTCCACGTACAAAGTCTACTATATATATATATATATATATATTTATGAAATTCAGTTTACCAATCAATATGACATCTTTCACTATACAGACAGCACTAATATCAACTGCAAAAAGCTGAAATTAATCATACTACTCGCATTAAAAGATGTCATATTGATTGGTAAACAAAATTTTAGAGACAAACTTATCAATATTACTGTTTAATATGATCAGGAGCCTGTTATAAGGCCCAAGGAGAGAGCCATGGCGATTCCAATCACATGATTTTGTTATTCCGTTCTTTATCCCAACACTGTTAAAATACACACGAGCAAATAGATGGGGCTCTCATACACAACCTCAGTGCAGGACTATAAAAGCAAATATATATGTATATCATGATGTATACATACATATATAGCAATTATACTACCAGAAGAAGTTGTTCAAAAGAGATGGAGCTTGCGAGTCTTCAAGATCATGGGACGGAGAGTGAACGTGTCTCCCCTCGTATGTCGTGATCACCATCCTCGGATCCTCGGCCAATCGCTCTACTCGTTTCTTCACGCGACAGTTATCCTGCGTGCAGCGGTAGTAGCTCCTGCGCCAGATGAAGATACAAAGTATACATCAGAAGCTGATAACAAATATCCAAGCTTGAAATCAGTAGGATTAATAAAGAATCTGTTTCGAACTGTTAAATATGTATCAGGTTCTGTTAGTTTTAATTTGCATACCTACTAAATAATGTATTGTAATATTGACGGTAATATTGACTAGAAGAATTGAAATCGAATTCGGCATTTACATGACCATGTATATAAAAGAAATCTACAGTATCATGTTAAAGTAGTCCACAAACCAAAAAGAAGACACAAGATATACATCTATATACATAATATATATGTGGTAAGTGGTATGTGAATGACCTAGTGATTTCATCATGAACTATTTGGTGTTGAGTTGATAACTTTTAAAGTCCCGTTATTAACTTTTTTCCAAGTGCTTGTGCAGAATGGACATATATATGAATGGCCTACGTGCACAAAATTCTTAGCCATGCATGCAAACATATTGCATGTTAGATGATCAATAGTGCAGCACAGTACTTGATTAACATGGACGTATATACATACGTACATATAATATATATACATATACATAGGATGGTTTATTGGGAATTTGTAAAATTTAATTGTAATGGTCTTGCAATGCAAGCTTGCAGAGAAAATAGAATAAAAGACTAATCGATGCGCGATAAATGTCAGTAATAATTCAGTGCCATGGCTGGATACAGGCATTAAAAAACATAATCGACTATATAGTTCATAAAGTTAGGTGCTTTTACCAATATGGATTCATAAAGCATTTCTAATAAACACCGTAATAATGAATTTTGCGCAAGGGATACAGAGAGAGCAATAAACACACGATCACAAAATTGAAGGTCCCACACAGAAGGAAAACGACAAAAAGAACTACTCACCATGTGAAAACAATATTCATATCAAAGTCTAAACAGTTGGATAGTCTAATGCTAACTAATTAACTTTTTTCGGATGCTAACTTCTATAGTTGAATACTTCACGTACGTACGCATGTACAGTACATACGTTTGTGTATGTTTCTATTGATCATAATATATTTTTCTTCTCTCTCTCTATATTTTCTGCTTATTACAATTTTCATCTTTTATTAAACCATTGTGGAGAGAGATGAAATTACGTAGTATATATATGACCATGCTCATGTGTATTAGCCGCGCTGCATATAGACGATCATCATGACTACTTTAAAACAACAAGCAAAACAATTAGCAGTTTACATATTAATTTTTCTCGTGAAGAAATCTTCAATGTTTATGTTGACGGTTCCGTCAACAGAATACTAACGAATTTATTTGCGGTTAACAAGAATTAAATGAACTAAAACGCAATTAAACAGCAAGAACAATTCCCCCTCAAATCCAGAGCTACGTCCATTACGGGGAGAAGAAAAACTTCACTATCTTTAGAAGAATTACATGCACTAATGCTCAGAATCAGACTTGAGGATTTTCTGAGCTATAAATGAGAGATTATGAGTCAAAAAAATCCCTAAGTCTTATTCTGAGCATTAGTGTGTGTAATTCCTCCAAAGATAGTGAAATTTATCTCCTCCCCGCAGTGGATGTAGCTCTTGAATTGAAGGTGAACCACTATAATTTCAGTGTATTCTTGATGTTTAATAATTGCGTTTTGGTTCATTCAATTCGCGTTAATTGTAAAAAAAATTTGTTATTATTCCGTTGACGAATTTTCACCGTCAGCGGTTTACATAAGTTTTATAGTAAGCACTTGACATAATATATATGTACAAACACCTATTATATATATATATATATAGTAGAAATTATACCACCAACAGAGTAACCAAACTTCATGCATGCTATATGTATATAACTACGATTATTTTTAGTTAAATCGAATAGCAATACCAGCAACAATCATGGAAAGACGAAGGAATGTTGACACCCTACTGCTAACTAATTAATTATCAATAAAAAACCAAAGAAACGTGTCTTTGAAAATGAAACACAAAGAGGCAAATAAAACGACACAAACAAGATCAGAAAAACTAGATAAGAATGAAAAACATGGAATGAAAAACAATCATGTCAAAGGATCAAATTACAACTTGTTATAGAATGGTTTAATTTCTTCCTTGGCTTTTTTACGCTGTTTCTTTTTTTTTTTTTCTGGTGAGAAAATTCTCCTCTAACCTAACGGTCAAAAATTTTAATTCCTACTTTTGACTTTGACTATGTACAGTTCTTGATTATCCCAATAATTACAGTAGTCCGAGAACGCATGCAGCAGATCACAATTATATATAAGAGATATATATGATCTTCATTATATGTAAGATCTAAATATTCAAACATTTAATCATTCCTTTAAACATGGGCTTTTGACTTTTTTGAGACACTTCCACAAAGTTTTCTACACATCCTGACGAATTTAATGAGAGCAACCAGCATTATTACAGGTATATTTTTCAATGTATTACGCCCTCCTCTAATTAGGAAAATGTTATATCAACTATATTAATCATCGCAACTAACATAACAAACAACTTTAGAAGCCCTTATAATTAACTTGCTCGTGGGTCATCTGTGTACTTTGCTTTTGTGTTTTTATAAAAGAAAAAATAAATAAAATAAAAGAATCGACTATAGAAAATTAAGCATCATAGTTTAGAGCTTATAATAACCATGTAATTTTTATTCTTCCCAAGGATACTACATTACACGTGTAAATTAGTAGATATAATTATAAGCATTGGTCTTAAGTCCAACAACCGTAAGATACGACATGTGTAACACTTTTCGTATAAATTATCTTTTTAATGTAACATGGTAACATTGAAACAAGTTACATGTCATATGGTAATAGTTACATTTTATTGAGTGTTAGATAAAATGAGTGCTACATGTATGTATAAACGATGTTACATTTTTCAGAATGATACGGCTTTTCCTGTAATTATATATATGACTCATTTTCACAGCTGAGTTTCTACTACTATTATTCATCAAGTTTAGGCTAAAGCTACTTTACTCTTACGTTAGTATAATGTAGGCTGAGTAATTAATTATTGTTGGTACTTATGCTTAGCAAAAGCTCGCTATAAATACTAGCTAAAACTCTAGCCACGTAAATATCTGGCCATGGAAAGGTACTTTTTCATGCCATGTCACTATTTAATTAGATAATAAACTGTTAAATTTTCTTTAGTAGAACAGAAAAAGTAACTGGTGAAGTAATTTAGGATTCTGTTAACTGCCATCAAATGACTTTAAGGAGACGTTTGATTCATGGATTAGAATCATGAGATTATAATTATTTTTAATTTACGTGTATTTTTTGTGAGAAAAAATACTGTAACGAATTATAAATCATGATTCAAATCATGGTATGAATCCTCTTACTAAACGTCTCCTAAATCACAATATCCTCAGTAACATTGTGTAAACGTGATTCAAATTCTAGTTATTAGTACTTCTGTAATTCACTGAAACAAATGCTGTCTGCACAATCTATTATTAATTACCGCAGTAATTATAGATACTGCATACTTGTGTGATCATTAGATATAACCAGTTGAAGAAAAAGTATACATATAATAATCTTAATCAAATCTGTCATCTTCTAGCATGTGATGGATATATTTTCTTGTTTCCTTTGTTTATAACACGATGACTTGTGAATGTAAAAGCAACACTAATATTGGCGTATCTTTTCATTGCCATTTTGTCTCTCAAAGCAGTTAATCTTCCTGATCATTACATTTTCTTTAAAATATAATTAGTGTTATCAATGTTAACATTATAATCCGGAGAACACATATTTTACTAATCATCAAAATTTAAATCTCCTGCACCAGGCCTGTAAAGCCTTATAGTGATAATGATAACATCTCAACAATAATAAGAGAGAGAGGAAAAACAAAGCATGTGTATGGGGTACAACAAGAGCTAAAATCCAATGTGACAAAAAAAAAAAAGAAGTGATCATGAATAAAGCAAAAAGAAAGTTAAGGTGGAAAGTAAAGAAAGAAAAAGAGATCACAGAGAGAGAGAGAGAGTAAAAATAAAATTTATATATATAGATATATATGTGTATATCTATATATATATATATATGTATGTATTTGTCTAACCTGGGATGCTGTGTGTTCTTTACCACTTTCTGTCCGTACTTCCTCCACTTGTAACCGTCATCAAGAACATCAACCTCGCTCATGGTCTTGAAGCAAAACCTTGGTTCTCTCACCTTCCTTCTTCCTTTTATCTTCTTCATCTTCATGGCTGAAACTCCTAGATGGTGATGGTGATCATGATCATCATGATCTTCGCCGCCATTAAAGCCACCGCCCGATCGCAGCTTGTTCCCCATGCACTCGTTCACCTCTCCCCATGACCTCCCAAAAAAAAAAACCCCACAATGAAAACATTTTCAAAATTTAACTTTAATTACCTTGACATGTTGATAACATTATTCTAAATAGGGATTTTATTAGTTGATTATTATAATTTACCAAAATTTTATGGGAGGGCACGTTGTTTTGTCATACGAGATTTGATTAATATTTCAATGTTTTTGCATGAAATCAAAGATATAAATTATCTCTAATAGGATGATCATGTATGTATGTACGAGCAAATTAAACATAAATATAAAAAAAGTAACAATTTTGAGATTCTAATTATTTGATTACCAGAGATTTGCGGTTGATCTTTGCAAGGAAAGGAGCTGGGGTCCTCCAAAATGGTCAGAAGCCGTGAAGTGATCTTCTCTCATATGCTTAGAAGGGCTAGAAGTAGTAGTAGATGTAGTACTGAGAGATGAAATTAGGGTTTCAGAGAGATTAATATTAGTACTAATATTATTATTAGTTGAACAAGGTATAGAGAAGTTTTTGAGGCATCCCAATGGAGAAAGTTGCGGATGAGCCATGTTTGAAGGAAAAGAAAAGAAACCCATTTGAGTAACTGGAGCTTCTTGATCATCCTCAAACAAGCCCTGGTTATTGATCATGGCTTGGGACGTGGAAGCCATATTAATCTCTCTCTCTCTCTCTCTCTCTCTCTCTCTCTCTCTAAGAGGTTAATTAGTGAAGGAATTAAGGATGCAGAAGATCTGAAGGAAGAAAGTTTTGGTGCTTTTTATGATAAGATGAGAGAATGAAGAGAATGAAGAGAATAAAGAGAATGATCTTATAGAAGAAAGAAATCCCTTCAGGCAAAGATTGCAAAGCAGCTAGTCTAGATTAAAAGCACCCTAGCTAGTAGAAGAGTCTCTGTCATGTTCTACAGAAAGAAAGATAGACAGAATTTTGCTAAGCCGTGAAAGTAACCAAATACCTATAAATATGACCAACCACTAAATTATATATATATATATATATTATTTCTTTTTTGCCCGCTTTAGTTTTCGTCTCCGATATTAATATATTCGGACTTTCTTTAATAGGATTTTCTTATTGGTATACTCAGTCTTAACAATTGAATTTAATTAAAATTATATTAGATTAAAAATATATACAGAATAAATAATTTTTAATTTAAATTTAAAAATTAAAAATAAAAAATTACCGATAGTTTGTTTTTTTTAATCTTATTAAAAAAATTCCCCCACAATATTTTTAATATTTAGTAAACTAAAAGGGAATTAGGAAACAATGGGCAGTTGAGAGATGTTGAAAATATACAATGATCAGCGTCCACTAACATGCATTTATATATTGTGGAGTAATAAAAATAGAAAAAATAAAGACACATGAACAATGAAGAAAAGTGTGACACATGAAAAGAACTAGTACAGGAGGAGTTCTAAGATTTCAAACAGAAAGTTTGGTGGAGTTGGGTTTTGGAGTGATATATAAGTGCAACAAAATGTTTGGACATTTGACCTCTGAAGCACAGAAAATCCGTGTGTCTCACATGGCCGGTTAGTGGAACTTTACTGTATATGGGACTTCAAGTCAACAATACACGACAAAGGGGATATGTATTGTGTGGTATATTATATGCCAGTTAACCACAAAAAAAAAAAAAAAAAAAAAATGCATTAGGGTATGGAAAAATAGGGAACTTATAGTAGGAATTATTATTTTACTTTATGGGTAGCAATTATTATTTTAAGCCTCGTTCATTTTGCGGATTTGAGTTTTTAATTCGAGCTGAGATGTGACATTTTATGAGAGTTTTTTACTGTAACAGAAAAAGTTAAATGTGACATTTTTTGAAAACTTTTTACTGTAAAAACCTAAAACTAAAAACTCGAATCAGTGAAATGAACAAGGCTTGTTAGAATTAATTTTTTAACTATATAATTTTTTAACAACTAAAATAACATATTTTATTGATATATTAAAATAGCATTTTTTATGTGTTACAAAAATCTAAAAAAATTATCAATAAGATTTCATTTTGAATCGATATATATATATATATATCCAAATAAAAATCTATTAATTTTTGTATAGGTTTTATTTGAATTTGATTTTAATCAAATTTAGCGTTTATGTTGAAAAAAAATAAAAATAAAAAAAACACTTACAAAGACATTCACACAAAAGTAAGGAGTACTATTTCGTGCTAATGTTGTGTAGCATGAAAATGTGTGCAATCGTGTGCGTTGCCTTAGATGCCTCACAACAAGGATAAAAGTGAACTAAGATGATCAGTGCACAATAATAGATAGAACAAAAAAATATATATATCTCTCAAATGAGAGAAGGGAAAAATTTATCATTCTCCACCAAAATCTTTTAAAAAAAGATGAAAGAAAGACACACGGAAAGGGCAATTCATATATATCCATCGTTTTCTAGGGTTTCTTTTGTGGATGAATATGATGATAATATATTTCTAGGGTTTCTTTTTGGCAACAAAAAGAAATATCAGAGGGCAATGATGATAAATCTTGGATGCAAATCTTTCTTCTCTGAATCGGCGGTGAAGATTCATTATGATTTTGTGTAAGAGGTCCTATTTGACTTTTTTCAGAAAAAAAAAAAAAAAAAAAAAAAGCTTCTCACCTTTCTAATATCCCTTTTGTTAATCAATTTTTTTTTTTATTTTTATTTTTTTTTTTTTGCACTTTACCCAACCCCATATCTAACCCCATTTCCCAAATCCCAAACCCACCCCATGATACTGCTATCATCTCATCAATTAAGCTTTATAAAGTTAGATAACTTTTTGTTTTGTTTTCCCACAGTTAAAAAAATCTATGTGGACCAACATGACCTTGTTGAGATATACATATTGATTGCATAAATTTTAAGCCATTGGATTATTAGTTATTATTCAATAATTATGTGCTTTTTGTACTTCATCCGTTTGTTAAACTGATCAATAAAATGATGAAGTTCATTAAGTAGGAAATATGTTTTCATCAATCATATATCACCTAACTGTTTTCCTATAGGTGTTAGAGGAAGAAACCTATTGATCTAGAGGTAATTAGTAGTACTACTAAAAAAATGTAAATGTATTAGTTTTTCATAATTAGGTTATTTTTATTAGGTATAGAAGTAGTGACAGAGTATAAGATTTCATGTTTCTCTTTTTTTTTTTTGAATAAAGAAGTTTATATCTTTTTGGCAACGCAATAATATAAAAAAAAGGGTTGGGATGCTTTTTTTCCTGACAACATACTGAGAGATACGATAATTTGTAAAATTTTACATTAAAACTTGTAAAACTCAAACAATAAAGTTGCTAAACTTATAATAAATTTGTGAATTTTGCAAGAATATGATGAATCGTTTAAATTTGTAAATTCAAATGTAAAATTCACAAGTTATCATATTAATTCACAAGTTTATCGTAACTTTTGTAACTTTATCGTTCGAGTTTGTAAGTTATAACGTAAAATTTTACAAATTATCATATCTCCTGATACGGCAATAGCAAAAAGCATTCCGACAACATAAAAGATTTCAAGAACTAGTAATGATATCAACGACTCCTTGCACGTTTATATTAAATTACAAGTCTACAATTATTTTCCTCCCTTGAAATTTAATAACTGTAAGCTTATGTATATAGTGTAGTATATATGCTCGTAGCAATCTATTAATAATTTAATTTTTAGTGATAAATTCTATATTCTATATGAAAAAGAAGAAGTAGAAAATTTCAAATTTTTCTTTCGTCCGTATTAATAGCACATGTTTTTAAATGTTAAATCGGGTTAAAATGAAAAAAAATATATATATATAAAATTGATAAAAAAAATTTCCTATTAATTGGGTATCTTTTTATACTTGCCTTAAGATTAATTAAGATTCTTATATTTTCTGTAAAAGTAGATGTGTAAGATAGTTTTATTACTTTTTAATTTAGCGTTTAGTTCATGCATCTGAACTCACGAATGACGATTTTGATTTAGAAAACTGGTTTAAATTGTTGTTTGGGAATGAAAAAGAAATTTTAAAATCTGATCCCCCAATTCCAAATTCAGCTCCCTAAATTTGGGTGATTCAAACCCATTTGCTACCAAAATTTTACAATTATTATTATTATTTTAATTTTCCTTTAATTTGTTTAATGTTATTTTGTTTTAATTTATTTTCACCGTTCAAATCTTTGTTTTCAAATAATTCAAATACATATTCCGATTTTATCCCAATTTTATATTTTCAATTTACCTATGTATCTAAACCGCGTTTAAAATCACAATTTATATACTTATGTTCATAATTTACAGTTAAAACAAAAAATTGAAATCGCGTACTTATTAAAGTAAATGCATCAAGCCAGAAGGCCACCAACTTTCTTTTTGGCTGAATAAGATTACAACTTACAAGAACTAAATACCAAAAATTTATTGTCTTAATTAGCTCTTATAATGGAGAAGGACAACGACATTTGTGATAACATTTTAATAATTCTATTACAGAATATATATTACATTCTTCTACTTTTCGTTTTCTTTTTTTTTTTCCCTTTTTGTGCAAACTTTTGGCAGTTTGGATTAGGTTAATTAACGAAAATCCATCTTCACTCTCAATTAATAAAAATTGTGACATTCAGTGACATACTTGACATTTAAAATAAGTGGTTAATTGGATGCAAGTTAATTATATTAGAGAAAAAAAAAGAGCTTTACATAAATATTTTTCCATCATCTATTAATTTGTTAGAAAAAGTATGTTTAATTTTGGATCACTGCTCAGTTTAAGTGGGACGATTTTCTTAATTATTATGAGCATTAAATTAAAGTAAAAAAGAAGGAATATAAAACAAGAGCAATGTATGAATTTTTAGTTCCATTAGGGTTTCTGTAGATCATCGCTTGCGTGGAGCTAACTTCACCATGACGTCATGGTGCTACGTACCAGGGAATAATGTCTTGCTTCAACTAAAGCAATCTCTTTTGTTTATTAATGTTTAATATAATATAATATAACCAGAAAGGGACTATAATAATAAAATTAAAAAAAAGGAAAAGAGCTTTTTTGCTCTTTTGGCTTTAAGTTGGAGGGTAGGACATGGGGTGGCAAACAAACATCATTTCTTTTTGTCCCTGTTTATTATAGGTCCTCATTATGCCCATATTGCATCCCATTACTCCATTTTCAGCTTTCATTTGTATCAACTTTTTCCTTAGCTTTGGCACCAAACTATATTTTTTATACAAAAATGGCATTTGTAATTTCTTTAAGTAGAAAAGCATTATTTTTTTCATGTGCTTTATCTCTAATCTCATTTAAATTAATTCCGGACTCTTAAAATTATGTCTTACTTTTGATCCTTAATATATTGCTTATTCTAATTTTAGTCTATGTTAACTAGTACTTGTTAAATATTTGATGGAATTTGTGAAAATTATAGACCAAAATTAGAAAAATTTAAAGGTAAAAATTAGAATAATACCAAAAATAAAGGACCTCCTGCATAAATATTTACACAAATAGTCTTTACGCTTTTTTCAATTAGTATAAAAGGACCTCTTGCATATCTCAACTAGGTTGGAAGCATAAAAACATGAATTAAACAAAGAAAATTAGAAATTCGTCTAGTCTTATAATTTGGTCAGATGATATTAGGCATACTAAAGTATGTGTTTGTTTTGGCTAAGTTTCACATAAACGTATTAGAAGGTCATGAAATATTTACAGAATAATTATGTAATTATTGTTTTCCTGTTGTTCTTAGAATAATAAAAGCCCCCACCGACCATGAAGAAAATCACACGCTGAAATTCAATTGTGT